TTGACTGGACTGAGACTTAGAGGAAGAAGCCCTCAGAGAGGCGAGCCTCGCCGCTTAGCAGTCTGTTCCTGACGTTTGTCTCTGGCCTCCTTCATTCTCTTGGCCCCCTCCTGGTTTCCTCTTGGCATGCGGTTTCTCCAGGGCGATGCGCGGCGCTGTGCCGCAGGACCTGCGGAGTCACAAGAAGCTGCACCTTGGGCCCTGGGTTTCTTGCCTTCTTGGCTCAGGGGCTCTCTTACTACACTTCTGAGAGACTGAAAAAGGTGTGGATTCTGGGCGCTAGGTGACAAGGTACAAGGATATCAGCCCTCAGTCCTGGGATATCGTTCTCCCCCTTTTAAGAAAAACAATAAACAAGTTGAGAACACTCACGCGGCCAACGTGCAGCCAAGAGCGCCCCTAACTCAGCAGCAGAAGGACGCAGCCGTGGGTCCAGACACCTTGCTTCGCGGGGCAACCTTGCTTGTCGTTCCCACCACTGATGGAACGACTTAGCCCCTCCGTTCATCGCCCAGCGCCTCCGCGGCGACTTCTGTGGGCATTCGCTTCTCATCACAGGTGCCCAGTTTGCGTTCATCCATCCACTGCAATGATGGTGGGGAAGGAGACGGTCAGCGTCCTGGTGAAGCTGGCGATTGCCTCCGTGGCACCACAGAAAAGAGCTTCATGTGTGTTTCTAAGCTTCTATGCGTTTTTTTGGATTTAAAAATATGATTCTGAGTAGGGGCTCCTGGGCTTCCACAAACTGCCAAAGGAGTCCGTGGAAGGAAACCAAAGGTTAAGTATCCCTGCTGAATAGGAATTCCTGTTGCCCTAAATTCTCCCACAGGGATGCCTGACTTTGTGTTGAGTCACCTTTGTCTTGAGCATATCACGTGCATTTCGTAGGAGTCTACAAAGAAGGGGACCTGGGGCATCTGTGCCCCGGACAAACAATGGCACCAACTGCAGGCAAGGCACTGGATAGGCCAGTGGACCAGGGGGACAGGACCCAGCAGTTGCAGTCTTATTTGCATCAGTGAGCTGAGAACTGGACCCACCCACACACCTTCCTGCCGAAGGGGGCCCAGGCCATTTCAGGAGGCTGAGCTGATTAGTCCTCTAGCCTCAGAAGTGGCCCAGCAGGGCAGCTTGCCAAAGGATAGTTTCAGAATGGTAATTAAAGGGTCCAACTTGATCCTGTCTCCTGGAGAGTTTGGATTCGAACACCTGAGAGGGCCAGTAGAAATTGAGAGACATAGAGTGGGAGAGGCAGAGATATGGAGATACAAAGGGTAGGGTCCTCTTAAGTCTGGCTCAGGGAGGTCTGCTTCCTAGCACCTGGAAGAGACTCTCTAACAGTGGTTCTCAACCTTCCTCATGCCGCAACCTTTTCATACAGTTCCTCATGTGGTGGTGACCCCCCCTCCCACACCATACAATTATTTTCACTGTTACTTCATCACTGTCATGTTGCTACTGTTATGAATCGGGCGACCCCTGTGAAAGGGTCGTTTGACCCCCAAAGGGGTCGACTCAAGACCCACAGGTTGAGAACCGCTGCGTTATAGCCTCTGCCCTGAAAACTCATGGGATCATGGAGGACCCTGAGTCCACTGGCTACACAAAGCTTACAGCAGAGGATATGCCAGAGACCCAAAGAGCAAGTGGGAACTTTCTTCCTCATTGCCTCCAAAATTGAGAATGAGCTCCTCCTGGTCAGGAATAGGCTCTTAGCCCACTGCCTAGCCAAAGGACTCGGTGAACTTCTATGACCTTGCAGGTGCCTTTCCAAGGTCTCCCTAGCTTCTTAACTGCCCTCAAAGCAGCCAGAGCCAACATAGCCCACAGCAGAGGCAGGCAGTAGACGGCAGGCCAGCAGAAATGAAAGGGGAGGGGAGAGAAGTCTATCACCGGATTTCCAAGACTGTAAATCTTTAAGAGAGCATACAACCTCATCTTTCTCCCAATGGAGCAGCTGGTGGGTTTGAACTGCTGACCTTATGGTTAGTAGCTTTATTCATAACCAACTACACTACCAGGGTTCCTTCTGGATAGTTTCGAAACAAAACAAAAACCCACTGCCATGGAGTCATTTCTATCTCAGAGTAACCCTATGAGTTTCATCCTGGTAGCAGAAGGCCTCTGCTTTTCCCCAGAGCAGCTGGTGGTTTCAAACCACTGATCTTGCAACTAGCAGTCCGAAATTTTTACCCACTACACTACCAGTGCTCCCTTCTGGAAAGGTCAAGGGCCTATAAATAGGTTCCCATTGTCACTAAAATGCTTAGGGTCCAGAACTATGGCCAACTTTGGAAGCCTGTTGGATGGCCACAGGTGAGAATCTCTAAGCTGGCCATTGGCTGGTAAGGAAGTAACATCTAGTAACATCTAGTCCCCTTTCAGCATGAACAGGCCCCTGGATTCCGACAATTGGCACCAAGCGTTTCTTCAATCGCTGTGCCATGGATAATAGATCTGTTATGCTCAGTACACTGGGAGAGGTGCTGGGGATCAAGAATGAATGGAGAAATTAAGTGGGAGGAGATACTTGAGCTGAAATGTTATGCTGCAAAAGAAAAACAACAGGGTGTTTAAGCTGTCTTTCCATCCAGGTGTGTGAGGCCCCACTGCGCTCCCCAAGCGAAGAATTGAGGGGTGTTATGTACCTAATCCCTTGATTGGGTCTCACTTTCAGGAAGGTGTAAGGTCTGAATCTTTATCTGGATTCACACCTGCCCCAATTGTTCTCCTAATTCCCAGCACTGGATCCGGGGAATAAGCGGTCTGGCTGCCAAATCATGCACCGTCCTTACACCCTCCGGGGGACCTAGAAATGACTCTCCCCACCCCCACCCTCTGCACTCCAGGCCGCACACATAGATTTGGGGCTCTTACACAAACAAGCCTCTGCCCCGCTGAGTGTCCGGCGACTGATCCCTTTAAAAGGAGGAGACTGGAGGAAGTCGGCTAGTGACCGCAGGACGCGTCACAAATCCTAAACCGTCCTCCCCGTCCTAAACTCGACCCCACAGCCCCAGCCGACTGCTTCCGCCCGGAGCGCCCCCGGGCCCCCCCGGCGCAGGCGCTGATTGGCCAGCGCGACGGTGGGCGGGGCCGAGCCTTAAAGGGTCCGGAGCTGAAGCTGCAGGGAGCGGGCGGCGGCCGGCGGCTGGGAGCTGATGCCACCTGGCCCCAGGTACTAACATCCACGGCCCAGGTGGGCTTCTTTTAAGCCGATCTAGTGCCCACCCCTACCCTTATGCCCATGGAGCCCTCGCGAGCCTACCCACTGTTCGGGGGCGCTTTCTCCGCCATCCTCCCGCCCGCGACCATTGATGTAAGGTAAGGAGGCGGGGCGCCCAAGGAAGGCGACCGGGCGCGTTGCGACGAGACGCGGTGGGCGATTAGGGGCTCTCTCGCTTCGCCCCAGTGACCTCCGGCCGGTCCCGGATAATCAGGAAGTTTTCTGCCATCGCGCGACCGATCAGAGCCTCATCGTGGAACTGCTGGAGCTGCAGGCTCACGTGCAGGGCGAGGAGGCTGCGCGGTGAGGGAGGCGGGCCTGCGGCCAGCCAATGGGGAAGCCGGAGCCCGGGAAATGGGCGGGGCCGGTCGCTCGACGGTTAATGGGAGCTCTGAGAATCCAAGGGCAGGACTGCGGGAAGCTTGGGATATAGACGTTCCTGGGGGACAGGGAGATGAGGGGTAGAGGGGGAAATGCCCCTGCCTGATCCTGCTCTTCCCCAACCCAGGTACCACTTTGAGGATGTTGGCGGGGTGCAGGGAGCTAGGGGTGTGCACGTGGAGGCTGTGCGGCCCCTCCCTTTGGAGAACCTGGCCTTAAGGAACTGTTGTCAAGAGGCGTGGATCCTCTCTGGCAAGCAGCAGGTAGCGAAGGAAAACCAGCAGGTGAGAGCCAGGGAAGCACGGTAGGGAAGTGTGGTGGGCAGGGTAGCCCCGGGAACCATGCAAGGGTCCTGACCGACTCTGATCTCTTAAGGTGGCAAAGGAGGTGACACTACACCAAGCCTTGTTGCGACTGGCTCAGTACCACACCGACCTCCTCCTCACCTTCAATCAGCCCCAGTAAGGACCAGGGAAGGAAGAGGCTGGTGACTGGGTCATGACTGGGTCCCCTGGAGAAGAGGGCCAGGAGGGCCACAACAGGCAGACTGATGGTTGGGGTCTCAGAAACTCAAGTCCACTGGGAACTCCCAAGCCTGGACCTGGGTAATGTTCTTCTCTCTTCCCCCAAGCCCCGAGAACGGATCTTGTCATGGCCCTGAAAATGTATCATCCCTGCCCTGGAGCCTGGGCGACTTTGAACAGCTTGTGACCAGTCTGACCCTTCATGATCCCAACATCTTTGGTCCCCAGTAAAGATGCTGAAGCAAGAAGCCGGAGCCTGTGCCATGCTGCTACTGTGGACCCGTGGGCCTACTCCTGCGAGGGGAAACATCAGACACTTCCACTTTGCAGAAATAAACTTGCTTTATAATCAATATCATTTATAATCAATATCATCATTGTGCTTTTAAATCTAACAGGACATCTGGGTCCCTCCAATTCCCTTTGGTCTTGGAGGGAGGGGGGCATTTAAAGCAGTGCATGGGAGCAGGAGGGACCCAGGGCCAGCAGTGCGGGGGAGGAGGAAGTACACTTTGGAGTGACTGGTTCAGCCCTGAGAGTGGGGTGCAAAGTGAACTCAGGGTGGTTAGGGAAGCCACGACGCCCAAAGAGGAGGGGAGGGAAACTATTCCCTGCAGTGATTCAACCCTGAGAAGAGATTGGGAGTGGGGCTGGTTGTCCCCCTCGATGGATCAAAAGGTCACAAGTCTCCAGGACCCAATTACAGAGGCAGAAGTTGGAGGCAGAGGAGTGGCCGTTATTTGGTGTACTTGGAGTAGAGGGAGCGCAGCTGGTCCCAGAAGAAGAGGGAGAGGATGGTGTGGGGACCCAGGCGGAAGTAGGAGGCCCCTATGCCCTTGTACATGCCCCAAATGCCTTCCGTTCGAGCTGTCTGCAGCAGAGCATCCAGAATCCCTCGGTACATGAGACCCTGAGAGGAGGTTGGAGAAAGACAAACAAGTATGTCAGAGCCCAGTCACACCTGCTTCCCCCCACACCTTCTGTCCGCCTGCATATCAGAGCACTCTACCTTGCCCCCACCGTCTGTGGGCTGGTTGTAGAGTCTTGTACTGGCCACGTCAAAGGGTGTCATGGCCAGGACCACCACAATGCCACTCACCATAGCTGCAACCAGAGCCACCTTCCAGCTCTGGGAAGGAAACACCTAGGAGGAGGGCAGGAGGAAGACTTGTCAATCAGCCCATCGTGCAGCACCCAGGACAAGACAGACTTTGTTCTGGGCATGTCGTACGTAGAGAGTTACCGAGATCTGACACTTCATGGATTCCCACCACACTGTGATAAGCAGTGGAGGAGCAAGGGTAGGGTGCCTCCCCCACCCCCCAGGACTTAGATACACCTTCTTGGAGGAAGTGACAAGAGAACTGTCAAGAACTGACATGAGTTGGGAAAAAAATAAAGAACTGACATGAGTCAGTGACACTCCCCACCCCAGCCTCCTGTTGCTCCCTCACCTTTGAATATGGACAGTGCCCCCTTTAGGGTCTCTCCCCCAGCCTGCCCGCCCTCCCCCTTTTCAAGGGCAGTACCTCCCATTGGCTGATGAGGTCCTTGGTAGAGGAGAAGGTGCACAGCTGGGCAGAGGAACCAACAACAACTCTGGGCAGGCCGCCCAAGGACCCGCGCCACAACCCCACCAGACCATGTTTTTGGCCAATCTGGGTTAGCGCCTGAAACATGCCCTGGTGGGAGGAAGGCCGTGGGGTAGGCTTCAGTCACCCCAGCAGCAAGAGCACCACCACCTAACACTGCCAAGGAGGGCTCCTTACAGATACCTGTTGTCCAGACAACCAGTTCCAGGTGGGCTTAGAGCTAGGATGTAGCCCCTCCTTGGTCTACCATCCCCGTGTTCCCTCCTTCCCTAAGACTAGAGGGACTCGGGGACGTGTTGGGGAGCATTTGGGTGGCCCTCATGGGCAGATGGGCTGAACTGAGGAGGAGCTGGGCAGAGCAGAGGCTGGGACTAGAGCTGTCCGGACAGGCAGAAAACTGCGGGGTGGAAAGGGCTGGGACAACAGCTGAGGGGGTGGGAAGGCCTCACCTGGTGCTTATACTGGGGCAGAGGGAAGGCCTCACCTGATGCTTATACTGATGTCCAACTGCAATTGCTGAGGCTGCCTGGGCCTGTAGGTGTGTCTTCACCTGGGGACAACAGAGTGAGTGTCGCAGCTATGCCCCAGTGGCCTTCCTGCCCTTTCACAAACCCCAATACTTGACCCTCTCACACTTTCTCTAGGGCGTCCAGCAAAGAATATCCTAGTAATCTGATAATTATTGTTGTTCCTACTAAGCAAATTGGTCATAAGACTGTTTCCCTTGGCTCCAGTCCCAGGGGATGGATCTTAACACAGCAAGACACCCCACCCCCTCCACATCCTCCATCCCTTGGGGGTGGGGGAGGGGAGTAGAGAGGCTGGAGAACAGCACTATTTCTTAAGACTGTTCCCTTCCGGAGGACCTGGGTATCAGTCTCCCCATGCTAAGGCCATTCTCAGACCAGCTCTCCAGCAAACATGAGGTCCAGGTTCCAAATCAGGCCTTGAGCCAGGTGATGAGGGCTCCTCTGTGTAACTTGGCCAAGAGACAAGGGTTTGGCTGACTTTGGAGAGGCCCAAGGCCCGGAATCTCACACCCTGGGGGTCAGAACAACCTGCCTCCCCACGAGTGGAACACAGTGGCTCCCAATGTCTTTTCAGGTGCACGAAACAGGGAGCAATTTGGAGCAAAAGGGGCACTGGTGGCAGAGTGGTTACGTGTTTGACTGCTGCCCAAAAGGTAGAGGTTTGACTGAACCCACTCCTCCTGGGGAGAAAGATGTGGCTGTCTGCCTTGGGAAGCCTGTGGGAGCAGTTCTACTCTGTCCTATAGTGGCTCCGTAGTGGGTCCATGTAGTCCCGGAAGGAACCACCTCGGTGGCCCTGAGCTAGTCACTTCCCCTCTTTTGGCCTCAGCGTCCTGGCCCTTCTCTGCAAGGGCAGCCTACAGGGACCCTCCTGCCCCTGGTCACCTTCCACGGACCTCAAAGGGACAGGGAGACTCATTCTGAGAAGCCCAGGATGGATGCCCCTTTGCTCCTAGTACTCGTCTTGTTAATGTTATTCAAATTCTTTATCCTCCTCTACTTAAATCCACCTCCAACCCCAACATCATGTACCAGCAACTAAATTAGATCAAAACAACACTACCAATGTGTAGTAAGAATTTGTGCCAGTGCGGTCCTTGTATTATCTCCCCTATCCGACTCAGTCCTGAGAATCACACAAGACCCTGCACCAAGGGTCCTCCCAGAAGCTGGCCGGTGGCATCTCTTCTTACCATGTAGATGGGGCTTCCCAAGTAGGCTCCCAGGACCCCAGCCAGGGCCCCAGCTGCTGCGCTGCGGGGAGGGCTGAGGGTGCCTTCTGCTGTGCACAGGTAGCCCCCAGCCTCAGCCAGCCCGTATGTGCCCAGTCGGATGCCGTTCATCAAGAACTGGTAAATGAGGGCGGGGACCAGACCCTTTTGCAAGGCGGCCGGTCCATCAACTTTGCCAATGGTGATGAAGGCATGGAAGACGTTTCGGTAGTGCCGCTGGTAGCTGCCAGGCGCCTGCAGCTCTCCCTGCAACTGCATCCTGGTCTTCACCACCTCCAGGGGGTTGGTGAACACACAGGCTCCACACGCTGCCAGGCCACTCAACAAGAAGTCCATAGTGGGGGGAGCAGGTGGCGCTGGTACCTGGCCAAGGGTGAGGAAGTCAAAATGGGCCTCAGGGGGAGACCTCCGTTTGGGCAGCGCAGGCTGCAGGAGGCAGGAATTTAGAGATCTGAAGTCAAGGGTGCCAGGCAAAATGTCAAGAGGTCAAAGATTAGCTGGAGTTTGGGGATCAGGAGATGGGAAAGGGGAAAGGAAGAAAAGCTTAGCAGAGTCTACTGAGGAGGCCTTGTTGAGCAAGGGATTTGAGGTTACAGGGGGGCGGGGGGGGGGCGCAGGAGCAGGGAAGGTGGCAGGTGGATGCTCAGGATGGCCGGCTTGCCAGCGGGGCTGGAGTCCGGGAGGAAACCACCGAGCTGGGAGATGGGAGCGTGGGAAGGAGCGCGAAAGAAAACCAACAGGTTACGGAGGAGAAGGATCCGGAAGAGGATCTGGTGGCGACCCCGGGCCAGCAAGGAGCTCTCGGTCCGGGAAAGCAGTCCTGGTTCCGGCCTGAGCTGAAAGTCCTCCGGCAGCAGCCAGAGCGCGCAGCTGCTCGGCCGGGGGTAGCCAGCGGAGGCCGGGTCTCCGCGCTCCAGTCGCTGCAGCGCGGCGCCCAATAAGGAGCCTCCGAGAGGCCCAGCCGAGAAGCACAGCCAATCAGGGCCGAGCCGGCTCCGCGGCCAGTGGGAGGTGTCCTCCGGGACCGGCCCTCCGGATGGGCTGCGGGGAGGCCGGGGTTAACTCTCGCTGCTCCGAGCCCGGGCTGGGCCCGGGCTGCGGAGCCACAGCTTCGGGAAGGCTGCCCCGGGCCCCCGGAGGGTTATCCCACGAGCGGGGAGATGGAGGGTGGACCTGGGGGTCCAGGATGGGCGCAAAGGCTGAGCCTGTGTTTGGGCGACGTCCCGTCCCTCGTCCCTTCTCTCCCGGGTGGGTAGTAGCTCCTCCGGCTCGTCCTGGAGCCCACGCCCGGCTCCGCTCCCGCTGCGCCCATGCCTGCGGCGGGAGAAGGGACCGCGACTGGGGCGACAGCTGATGGTGTCCCCAAGGATACGGAGAGTGTTGCAGGTTGTGGCGCCGCGCAGTTTGTGGGCGCGGAGAGGAGGGAGCCTGGAAAGACCGGGAGCGATCGAGGTCACCTTCCGAAGCAAGTTTAGCTCACAACAATCGGGAATGCAAGGCGGGCGGGCGGGGGGCAGGCCGGGACGGGAATTGAGATTCCTGGAGAGCTGGGCCGTGGCGGTGTCCTAGGGAAGTGTCCGACTGCTCATCTTAAAGTGATGGAACCCACCTGCCACTCAGCGGGAGAGAGATGACCGCTTCCATAGAGGTTCACAATCCTGGGCAACCGACTGTGTCCTATAGGGTCTCTGTAAGTTGAAATACATCCCCCCGGGGGTGGGGGTGGGAGGCTATAGTTAGGCGTGTGTGGGGTGGTGCAAATGGCCTGTGCTCCGCTATCAAAAGCTAACCTGAAGGCCGTCGGTTTGACGCCAGTAACACCAACGATTAACCCAGCAAACCTATGGGAACAGCCCTACACTGCAATCTGAGTAGGCAAGCTTCCATTCGGAGCCCTGGATGTGCCGAAGCTCTGCGCAGTGGGAGGCTTACATCCATGTTTGTGTCCCCACATAGGGTCAGGCTCCATTGAGCTCTCTCGCCTTCGACGGACTAGCTTTGCCCAGAGTGTCTGGGTAGTGGGTTACTTAGCACTTCCCTCCACAGCCCACAGCCGGGGGAGGGGACTTATCTGGTGTGTCCTTTCTGCTCCCTTAAACAGTTATAGTTGGGGAACCTACAGGAGTTCTACTTGGCCCTATAGGATCCCTGTGAGTCGGAATGGACCGGACTGCAGTGAGTTTGGAATTTGGAGTTGGAGGGTTAGGTAGTGTCATGATCCTCACCCTGACTGCTTTGGTCAGTGGGCCTTGAATCAATCTTGTAAGCTTCTCTAATTGGCAGAAGTCTAACTCTCCCAATCTCCGCCTCTTTCCCGTTCTGTAGCACCCCCTGGGACTTGATGAACTGACCTGAGCACAATCATGATTTTGTGAGAGTCCTCTGTGCTCCATGACCTATTTAAAGGCTGCTTTTCTGTAATGCTTGAACGCCTTTATGGCCTTGTGTTGATGGTCTCTCTCGGCCGATGAGGTGCCTTGGTCATGTTTAAGACTTAGTAATCATTTCCACAAGTTACACTTGAATTTGGAGAATCTTTTCTCTCCAGTTGGAATCCACCTGCTGGTGCCAGGGTCTTTTATAGCTGGGCTTAGGTGACACAGGGTTAGCAAGTGATAGGAGAGACCCTGAAACTGCAGAACTGGCTTTGCTGAACTCAGGAGTTTAAACCCACCAGGTTCTCCATGAGAGAAAGACAAGGCTTTTATACTCGTTTTTTTTTTTTTTTTAATTCCTGTAAACTGTCTCAGAAACCCACAGAGACAGTTCTACTCTATCTTCTAGGTTTGCAAAACATCCAAATTGACTGGACAGCAACGAGCTTGGTTTATACTTTTTCTTTATTTGCTGCTGATGCGTCAGGGATGCTTAATCGTAGAAAGGAACTGATTGTGATGCTGTATCTACAACTCTTTAAAAAACTATTTAACTAGGGAAGTATATGAAATGTGAATACTATATCAAGAAAATTGCTTAGAAAGAAAGAAATCAAACTCGACCAATGGTTACAATAGGTGAAGAAGGAAGAGTTGTTGCTTAGGGGGCGTTGAGTTTATGTTAATAGTGGTGGAATCATTTGGAAAACGATATCCGTTTGGTTGTACAACATGAAATGTACAACCAATGGCATGTAGAAGTTGTTGAATCGGAGGATGTTTTGTTGTGTATATTTTTGCCACCGTTTTTAAAAACATGAATAACAATGAGTACAGGGCAGAAGAAAGCATTCTAGAATTGATTGTGGTATTAATTGTACACATCTTCTTGATATCATTGAATTTTTGAATTTGATGACCTGTGCACAGAGTGCCAATAAAACTGTTAGAAATAAATAAAATAAAGAAACTAAGGAAGCTGGCTGGAAAGGTATTGAGGGAGAAAGTTCAGGGCAAGAACTCTGTCCTCTGGGGCAGGAGGGCGCAGAAGCTCACTTGTGTGAGAGGCAGCCACCAGACTCAGCTCACTGTCTGAACTAGTTTGGGGTTTTTTCAACATGACCTTGGGCTGAACATCTGAGCGCCTTCTCTGTGAAACAAGAATGGTTACATCAATTGCACATGCCCCAGGGCAAGTATAGGGTTTGTATTATAGCTCCTGTGACCCCAGTCGGTACTGACTGATGAAGACCCCTCAGGTGCCAGAGAAGAGCTGCACGCCCTAGTTTTCAATAGCTTTAGATTGCCAGACCTTTCATCTGTGTACTGCTGGGTGTCCCTTGGTCTGCTGAACGCAAGGGCAGCAACTTGAACCCACCAGCCACTCCATGGGAGGAACACAAAGAGGTACTTCGACCTTATCCTATTAGCCTCACTATTAGTTGGAATCAACCGAGTGGCTGTGGATATTTTCTTTATTTACTTGTTTGCTTATTTATTTATTAACTGAAGTAGAAACCATTTGCACTACCCATACTCGAAACAGCATCAGCAGCAAGAACAAAAACTCACTGCCACTGAGTCAGTTAAGACTGGAAGCGACCCTATGGGGCAGTGGAGAACTGTCTGTGGGTTTCTGAGACCGTAACTCTCTACAGGAGTAGAAAGCCTCATCTTTACAGGAGTAGAAAGTAGAAACTCTTTACAGGAAGAAAGTAGAAAAGGTAGAAACTCTTTACAGGAGTAGAAAGCCTCATTTTTTACAGGAAAGCCATTTTTACAGGAGTAGAAAGCCATTTAGAAAGCCAGGTTTACAGGAGTAGAAAGCCTCATTTACAGGAGTAGAAAGCCTCATCTTTCTCCTGCAGAGCGACTGGTGGCTCCAGATAGCTCACCTTGGTGGTTAGCAACCCATTTTGTAACAAACACACTGTGCCACCACTCGCTCATTCACTGCATTGAGTCCATTCTGACTCATAGTGACCCTGGTCAGGGCCCAATCACTCCGAAAATTCCAAATTCAAAGCCACCCAGTCAATTCTGACTCATCCTGACCTTGTAGGTTTGGCTTTTTGGTTTGTTTCTTTGTTTTACATTTGAGATTGTGTGTTAGGGCTTCAATTACGAGCACTGGTTTTGCTGAATGATGTGTATTACAGTGAAAGCCTGAAATCCATTGTTTTGAGTCTCCAGTGGAATTCTTTCTGACCACTAACTAGCGGGAGTGAATAGTTTGCCCTCAGGCAGACTCTGTTCGAAAGTGGATTGCTACCACTCCCCTCACCAAGCCTGGGAGGAGTAGGCTAGCCTTTAGGAATCTGCCTCCGTGTGCCCTTGATGGAATTTGGAGTATTAGGGTCCCCATAGCCTGCCTAAAGTGCCTTATACACAGGCCTCTTGAACCACTACTGCAAGCTTTTCTACCTGCAATAGTGGACATACACAGACCCCACTCAGGGTTCCTTTCTTGTTTCTGTAACCCTGCCTGCAATATAATGGACTTACCTGCCACAAACATTGCCTGGTCCTGCACCATCGATGTCCGAGTGGTTATGCACCAGTGGTTTTGTTTGAGCTCATCCTTGCAGCCACTATGCCAATTCATCTTGAGTGTCTTCCTCGTTTTCTCTGGTCCTGTACTTTATCAAGCAAGCATGATGTCCTTCTCTGGGAATTTTGCCTTCCGAATGACATGTCTAAAGCACACTAGAGAAGCCTCCATTGCATCTCGGCTTTTTGTTCAAGATCAAGTGTAGAAGTCTTGACAGCCTCTTGTCTATGGAGTATTCCGGCTGTACTGCTTCCAGGACATGTAGGTTTCTCTTTCTGGAAGTCCACTGTAACTTCAACATTCTTTGCCAATCCCATCATTCAAAGGCATCACTTCCTCTGCAAACTGAAAGCCGCATGGCCATCTAGTTGACTCCCATCCATCGGACCTCTCCAGTCTTCTGTATCCACCGCCCAGCTCTCCTTGTCTGTATTCCTTGTCCACATGCAGATGTGGCCGGTGAAAATTCCCTGGCTTTGGTCAGGTGCATCTTAGTCCTCAAAATGACATCTTTTTCTTTGTAACATTTAAAATAAGGAAAGAAAAGGAAAAAGAAAAAAAAACATTTAAAATGGGTGTCGTATAGCAGAATTGACCAATGCCAAATGTCCTGTGGTTTCTTTAAAAAAAAATAATTCTATTGGCATATATTTCATATATCATACAACTTAATCATTCGGTCATATTAAGATTTGTGCAATTATCACCATAATCCGTTTCAGAGCTTTTTCTTCTCATCCTCGTAGTTAGCTCCTTACTTCCCCCTATCTTGCACTGCCATGCCGCTATCCGGTTACTTTCTCTATAGATCTACTTATCCTGGATTTCATAATGTCCATTGATTTCTTGACTGTTATTTCCTTGGGAATGGATTGTGGATCCAAGTAAAATGAAATCTTCAACAACTTCAATATTTTCCC